GGGTACGGGTGGTATTAAACTGCAAATCAATGCTCAGAATTGTATTCACTGTAAGACATGTGATATCAAAGACCCGTCACAGAACATCAATTGGGTTACACCAGAGGGTAAGGGATCTGTATTTGAAGTGTTTGTTTTGTTTGACTAATCTTTGTCTTTATTTACCCCATAGGAGGTGGAGGTCCAGCCTATTCTGGAATGTAATCATTAATTTTGATATAAAGTACAAGAATGCATGCATAGGAGTAATAAGAATATTATATATTCTGTAAATAATTTTTATGTTTTTATATTTGATATTCAAATAAAGTTTTTTATGCAATGTATTGTCTTAGTAGAGTGATTGAATGTTTAACAAATTGTTTTAAAATTAATGTCTCTTTGAATTTATAAATGTAGTCAAATTCAAGTCATACGATCAATAGTTTGTCAAGTATTGTATGCTTTTGTTTATTAATTATAGGCTATAATTTATAGCTTATGCTAATTGAATTGTGTTTAGTTGAGTGTTAGTTACACGTATGTTTAGTATGCATTGAAGGGCGCAATGAGTTTCTTAAAGCTTTACTACCGGTGCTGTCAATGTATTTGTTCAGATGATTGAAATATAATACAAGTTCTCGGTATTGGGAGAAAAAATATTTGTTGTGTTTAAATGGAATTTCTTTTGACAAAAAATACACCTATTATTAGGTCTTTCATAGAGATTTGATTGAAGGCATTTAGAAACACGACTGTCCCTATTATACATTTCCTCCGAATCTATAAAACTTGTGAACAAAAAACAAAATTTAAAGGACTGGGAGTATTGAGCGAAGCAGACAATCAATTGACACAAATTTTCACAATTTATTTATTTTTTCATCGAAAAAAGTTTAAAGAAAAGGAAATAATAAAGACTTAAGACTTGAATGAAAAGAGATACAGAAGTGCTGAAAGCTGTGGTAATATTGTATTAGAGATGAGATAAGAAATTATAGGCTTTTGAGGACATGTAGTTCCTCTTTAATTATACAATAAATTAGTTTTAAAATGATCAATAAATTCACAGAAACTCATTAGTGAGTGGAAACTAACGCACAGAATATAATGACTTTAAATAGCATTGTTTTTCTCGCATTGGCTTAACATTAGTGTGACTTTGATTTGAAGCCCTAAACAAATTGATAATAAAATTTTATTTTTGCTTTTAATCTCAATTCGGTATCAAAACCGACGAGTTTTTTGTTGTTTTGTTTGAGAGACCAATAGATCAGAGAAACAAAATACAAAAATAAATGTATGATTAAGAGGAATACTCCGAGAAATGTGACTCAAGATAAAGGCGTCGGTAGTGTGTGATGGAGTGGGAAGGGATGTGAAAAAGTATAGTGACTTAAGCAACTTAAAAACAAAGTTTTAATCAAAATTTGTAATCTTATATCACATATAAGTCATATGTATTGTAATTATTTGTATGATTTCATACAATCTTTTTATAGTATTCCCGGTCTTATGGATACGTGGGTATGGATTGGACCCAAAAGAATCTCAAATCCTATTCTCTTTGTGGTAATAATAACATCAAATTCTTGTATATATTTGATTGTCATGAATGGGAAGCACTGGTGTATTGTGTGCTATAATCCGATCACTTTCTCCAAGAAGTGAATGTTATTTAATTGTAAGCATAAGCTGTCGACGCGATTGTGTGTCTGACTAAAAAAGTGAGTTATAATTGCTTTTTATGTGACAATACGCTAACAATTGACTCGTAATAATAGCCAACATATCCATAGAGTATCAGAAAAAATCACATAATATATGATATGATATGCGTTTAGTGGCATTCAATTGAAACATAACTTTTACGACCAATAGTTGTCTTCTTATTACTTCATTCACTGAAGAGATTCAGTGGTAATACTGTGGACGAAGAAAAGCTGTCATTCCCTTCTCGACGATACAGTACTACAGTATAAATGTTATGTTATTTGAGTCATACTTTCCTTTTTTGATAACTTCCTCACAAGAACTGAAAGACACCAAAAGAAAAACACTTCATATATAAAGACTCATTGAATATCTCATGAATGGAAATACAAATAGACGTCAAAACACTATATGAAAGGAAAGCCTTACGACTACTCGTATACTACTCTATCATATTCTGTGCGCGGATTCTGTGACCACTGAATCACTAAATCTTTTTTCTCCTCAACTTTTCTGCCTTTGATAGATACCGGAGAGCGACACATGACTTCAATTTCATGTGACCTTTCTCTCTGTGGTGTCGGTCCCCACGCCCTGCCCCTACCCTTTCAAAAGCATATTTTTCTTGGTACAACACTTGTAGGCATATTACTATACTATACCATAGGGTAGACAGCGTTATAAAGTCTATGCGTTTTTGGCACTTATTTGTGAGACAATAATGCAATTACAGAGCACTTCATAAACGCATACAATAAGGGAAACCATATCTTAATCTGTAGTTTCATTAGTAGATTAGGGGTTAAAAGTTTGACTAAAAAAATCTTCCGTTCAAATCAGTGCTCATTAAAAGGCAACTGTTTTTAAGGAGTTTACGGAGTATATTGCGGGTGATGTGGGTTTGGTAGGCCTTGTGATGCTCAGACACGTGCAACCCATACATCCTGTATGTCATACACCACTGGTGTGTATGTGTGAGCGTAATGTGTTTGTGCCACTCGCCTCCCTGTCCACTACAAGTGCTTATCAAAGGCGCACAAATTATATGTCGTACCCCTAAGTGACGTCCAGTTCCCCCATAAGTGTTTGTCCACCAGTTCCTCGTAAAAGTGCTTTTCCAGCGAATTGTCGCAAAAGTTTGTGAACAGAAATTTCTTTCACGCAAAATAAGTTATGCTTTTCATTGAGTTTTGAAAACTTNATAAGTTTGAAAAAGTTTTTTAATACAAACTTTTTAATGGTTTTTAATGACAGACACTATAGGACTGTATGTGTTGTCAGTAGTCATGACGTCACTGAAGACAACGATTGTGTGAATTGTTTACACGATTTGAGTCCAAAGTTTGGTCTCAATTATCGCCGCAATTATCACATTATCTCAGGTCTTGAGATCCGCTCAAAGAGTACTTTGTGTCCTCAGTTTGTACTCAAAGACATATCACATGTCTATCTCATATCAACACTACTTTTGCCACATTTTTGTGTAGTTTTTCGCATTTGATTTGTAGTTTTGTTTTGCATTTAATTTAATTATAATTTAGTTTTTGAAACAACTTTTCAAAAGTTGTCTAAAAGTTTGCGTCAATTGTCTACTCAACCAAAATAACTGACCTCAAGATCTGGGCCTAAGATAACTGATCCCAAATAGTGATGTATCGATGCGTGCATTCCGTGTCCACCAAATGGCAACCGATCGGTGATTATTGTCATCACTGGAAGAATGTCTTAAACACGACTCGACGCCAGTGTCTGTCATCGCAGCCGAAGATCACGACTCACTACTCAGTGGTTCCCAGAGATACAGACAAACGATGGAAAGACATACCAATGGAGAGAGTGGTCGACGAGACGGACGTAAGACATCTGCAGACAATTATCGCTACATTATATCTCTTAACCATAACTGTGTCACCGATGGACAGGTGGTTATCATAGGCGGAGGTCCGGCGGGTCTGTCGGCCGCCATCCGACTCAAGCAATTGGCGAACAAAAATCAGTCAGAATTGAGGGTCACTTTAGTGGAGAAGGCCTCTCAAATCGGTTTACACACCCTCTCGGGCGCCTGTATTGAGACCAAAGCGTTGGATGAGTTGATCCCCGACTGGAAGGACAAGTCGGCGCCACTGAACACACCCGTCACCGAAGATATCTTCAGATTTCTGACCGAAAAGCGCGGCTTTAAGATACCAGTGCTGCCGGGCTTTCCTGTCTATAATCACGGCAATCAAGTCGTCCGTTTGGGACAATTGGTGGAGTGGTTGGGCATTCAGGCGGAGGAACTGGGCGTCGATATATACCCGGGTATCGCCGCCTCCGAGATCCTCTACGACGCCGAGGGCAATGTGTGCGGAATCGCCACCAATGATGTGGGCGTCCGGAAGGACGGGTCGCCTAAAGACTCGTTTGAGAGGGGAATGGAGTTGAGGGCGAAGTGTACGGTATTCGCGGAGGGCTGTCACGGATCTCTCGCCAAACAGTTGTACAAAAAATTCAATCTGAGAGCCAATTGCGAGCCCCAGTCGTACGGCATCGGACTCAAGGAGGTCTGGGAGATCGAGCCGACGCTGCACAGGCCCGGTAGGGTCGAGCACACAGTGGGCTGGCCTCTGGAAAAGGACACATACGGCGGCTCTTTCTTATACCACCTCAACGAAGACCAGCCCCTCATAGCCGTGGGGTTTGTCATTGGACTCGACTATACGAACCCATACTTAAGTCCGTTCAGAGAGTTTCAACGCTTTAAACTGCATCCCAGTGTTCGCCAGTACTTCGACTCGCCGGCAGCCAAACGGATTGCCTACGGGGCCCGAGCTCTCAATGAGGGCGGCCTCCAGTCGATACCGAAGCTCACGTTCCCGGGCGGGTGTCTAATAGGGGACAGTCCGGGCTTTTTGAATATGCCTAAAATCAAGGGAACGCATAACGCCATGAAGTCGGCGATGGTGGCGGCCGACAGCATATGGGACGCGCACAGCGCCGGTAGTCTTAACATTGGATACGAGCCGATAGAGTACGAGAAGAACTTGAGGAACAGTTGGATGTGGAAGGAGCTGAAGGCCGCCCGAAACGTGAGGCCGTCGTTCCACTCGAAGCTGGGCCTCTACGGGGGTCTCGTCTACACCGGACTCTTCTACATAGGGCTCAGGGGTCACGAGCCATGGACTCTAAAACACGGCGGACCCGACCACTTGCACCTGAAGCCGGCCAATGAATGCAAACCCATTGAATACCCGAAACCCGACAACAAAGTGACGTTTGATTTGTTGTCATCCGTAGCGCTCACTAATACCAACCACGAGGCCGACCAACCGGCGCACCTGACGCTCATGAATGATGACATACCTGTTGAGCGCAATCTGAAGGTCTTTGACGGACCTGAGGGCAGGTTCTGCCCGGCCGGGGTGTATGAGTTTGTGCCCAATGAGGGTACGGGTGGTATTAAACTGCAAATCAATGCTCAGAATTGTATTCACTGTAAGACATGTGATATCAAAGACCCGTCACAGAACATCAATTGGGTTACACCAGAGGGTAAGGGATCTGTATTTGAA